CGTCAAGTGTGCCAACGGTAGTGAGGTTGGCCCAGGATCGGACATTGTTTCGTTCTGCTGTGCATGGGGTCGCTATGAGTCAGTTCTGACTCGATGGCACCTGACAACAACAACAACAACAACAACAACAACCTATGAGAGAATAGCTTTCTACTTGTTGAAGGCATCCATCTGTGATATTTCTAGTATAGCACCACCGGAGAACTCAGGCAGCCGACTTCCAAAAAAAAAAATTAATAGATTTTATTCACAGACGTTTTAGGTTTACTAAAAGTTGTTTTTTGAAACAGGAAATTCAGAGAGCGCCCAGGTCTCCCACTCTGCCCTACACACAATTTCTCCTCTTGTTAACATCTTGCCTTCCTGTGACCCACTTGTTACAATTCACAATCCAATATTAACACCTAATGGCTACGAATCGGGCTGCGAACCTTAAGGTCAGCAGTTCGAGACTGCCAGCTGCTCTGCGGGAGAAAGATGAGGCTTTCTGCTCCTGTAAAGATTTACAGCCTCAGAAACCCTGTACAGGGTCTCTATGGGTCGGAACCGACTCAACGGCACTTAACAACATTACTAACTGAAGTCCACATCTTACATTAGGCGTCATTCTGTTTTATCCAGTCCCATTTGGATTTGGACCAATATGCAATGTCTTGTATTCACCCTTGTATTACAGCACAATTTCACCCACCTAAAAATGGCCTGGTATAGTGCTGTAGGATAAGCACTGGACTGGTAACTACAAGGTCGGTAGTTCAAACCCACCAGCCACTCCTCAGAAATCCTATAAAGGGTTGTTGAGTCAGAACCAACTAGATGGCAAACCACAACAAAAATGGCCTGGTGTGGCCCTGTAGGATAAGCATCGGACTGCTCACCAAAAGGTCGGTTGTTCAAACCCACCAGCTGCTCCTCGGAAACTCTATCCAGGGTCACTATGAGTCAGAACCAACTCGATGGCACTCAGTAGCAACAACAATGGCTTGTGCTTCCTTGCCCTCGCTACACACCAAGCCCCTGGTAACCGCTCATCTTACTGTTTCTGTAGTTTTACCTTTTCCAGAATGTTGTCAACGAGATGGAATAATAAAGTACACCACTTTTTCATACTGACATCTTGCATTTAGCAATGTGCATTTAAAGCTCTTTGATATATATATATATATATATATATATATATACACACACACATATATATATTTTTTAAATCATTGCTTACAACTCCATTGTATATTGTTGTTAAGTGTTGTCAAGCCAATTCTGACCCATAGTGACCCTGTATAGGGTTTCCAAGGAGCAGCTGGTGAACTTGAACCACTGACCTTGCAGTTCAAACGACTTTGCAGCCTGACGCATTAGCCCACAGTGCCATGCCAGGACTCCATTGTATGGATGTACCCATATTTGTTTACCCGATATCTTGGTTACTTCCACTGTTGGTCAGTTATGAACAGAGCTGCTAACATTTGGACGCAGGTTTGTACGTGGACACAAATCTTCACCTCACTTGGGTAAATGCACAGGAGTGGAGTTGCTGGACCCTATGGTGGTGAGTCTATGTTTAGCACTGTACGAAGCTGCCATTCTGTCTTGCAAGGTGTCTGTGCCATGTAGCGTCCCCAGCAGCCATGAGCGAGAGTTCCGGTGGCTCCACATCCTGCCAGTCTTTGGTGATGTCAGCCTTGTGGATTGTAGCCATTCTGCTAGTGGGTGTGGTATCTTGTTATTGGGAGTTGCCATTCCTACTTGACATAGGATGTGAAGCATCTTTTAATGCTTGTCTGCCATCTTACTCAATCTGTACACTGAGCATATCACCTGAGAAGCTGCATTATATAAAGAAAAACGTGGCATCAGGATTAGAGGAAGACTAACAACCTGTGATACACTGATGATACAACCGTGCTTGCTGAAAGTGAAGGGAACTTAAAATACTTACTGATGAAGATCCAAGACCACAGCCTTTGGTATGAGTTGCATCGTAAGAACACAAAAGTCCTCACCACTGGACCAGTGATTAACATCCATATAAATGGAGAAGAGATTGCAGTTGAGGGAGAGTGACTGTGTGCTGAAGACCTGGGGGGCATGGGGGAAGGATTGCATGGAGGGGATTGTAACCATGGCAATGAGATGATATACGATAGAATGAATGTAAAACCAGTGTTCTCCCATGTAAACTATCACATAATTCACAATAAAACATTAAAAAAAAAAAAAAAAAGGCTTCATTTTGCTTGAATCAACTATCAACACTCACGGAAGCAGCAGTCAAGAAATTAAATGACGTATTGCATTAGGCAAATCTGCTGCGCAAGACCTGTTAAAAGTGTTGAAGAGCAAAGATGGCAGCTTGAGGACTAAGATGCGTCTGACCCAAGCCATGGTATTTTCGATAACCTCATATGCATATGACAGTTAGACAACGATTCAAGAAGACCGTAGAAGAACTGATGCCTTTGAGTTATGGTGTTAGAAGAGAATATTGAAAGTGCCATGGGCTGCCAAAAGAACCAACAGATCCATTTTGGAAGAAGTGCAGTCAGAGTGCTCCTTGGAGGCCAGGATGGCCAAACTTCGTCTCTCATACTTGGGACATATTGTCAGGAGGGACCAGTCCTTGGAGAAGGATATCATGTTTGGTAAGGTGGAGGGTCAGAGAAAAAGAAGATCCCCAACGAGATGGATTGGCCAAGTGGCAGCATCGATGGACTCAAGCGTGACAACGATCGTGAGGTTGGCCCAGGATCGGGCAGTGTTTCGTTCTGTTGCGTGAAGAGTTGCTGAGTTGGTACCAGTTTCATGGCACCACCACCAACAGTCTGCCATCCGTGTATCTTTGGTGTCTGTTCAGATCTTCTGTTTACTTTTTAATGGAATAGTTTGTTTTCTTTCTGTTGAGCTGGAATAATCTGTTGTAGATGTTGGATATCAGTTATCGGATACGCTTTTTTTTTTCCCCTCCCTGTCTGTGGGCTTATCTTGTCATTCTCTCAACCTTTGCCCATTTCCCAGTTGACTGGCCTTTTAATTGAGTGGTAAGCCTTCTCTATATATGCTAGGTAAAAGTCCCATTATTGGAGATAAGATTTTCTAGTATTACCTTACATTCTGTGGGCTCTTTTTTCATTTTCTTCCTGGTTCCATTCATAGCACCAACAGTTTGAATTTTGAAGTCCAAGCAAACTCTTTTTTTCTTTTGTCACTTTGGGCTTCTGGTACTCTCCCCCAAAAACTTTAGGAAACCTCCAGACTTTTTAAAAGATAGACAGGTACATGTCCTCAGTGTCCCATGCCCTATGTTGACTTTATGTTGACTTCGAGGAACATGAACCAGCCTGGTCAGACAGCACAAGCTTTGAATGTACGTTTAACCTGTGAGAAGTCCACTGTCTGTCACTTCTTTTGTCCTTGCAATCAGAGCTTGTGCAGAGGCCTGGGCTCGGGGCGGGTACGCGGCGGAGAAAGAGGAGAGACAGCACTGGGAGACCAGAGAGCAGAAGAAAATTGCAGACAGCATAGAGGCCTTGGCGATGATCAAGCGGCGGGCTGCGGAGCGGAGAAAACAGAGAGAAGCCCAGGAGAGAGGTACGAGCCCCAGGAAGGAGGCAACCGTCGCTGGGTTCTGTTGAGTTAGGGGGAACCAGGACTCAGATGGCTGCGATTTCTCTCTGCTCTTTGCACACCTTTGCCCTCAGATACACCTGCACTTTGGTCTCGTCTTCCTGCTAGGCCTCACAGTTGCGCGCAGGTAGTTTTCAAGGTACCCTTGACTGATTAGACCACAGTGGGTTAAAATAGTCACCGCTTTCTAGAATCGGTGATGTGGCTGCCATAGTGAATGAATAGAAACTTAGTAGCTGGAACAACAGAAATGCGTCATCTGACAGTTGGGGAAGGTCAGACGTCTAAAATGGATCCCGTCCGCTGGGTTAACATCAGATGGTTCCTTCAGGAAGCTCCAGAGAGTAGCTGTGTTGTTGTTGTTGTTGTTGTTGCTACTGGGTTTTTTTTCGGTTTTGCTTTGTGTGTGTGTGTGTCTTCTACAGGTGACCTGCGTTCCTTGGCTTATAGTTTTGAACATTTTGCCACACTGTTACTTATAGCGACCCTGTATAGGGTTTTGAAGGACAGCTGGTGGGTTTGAACCACCGATCTTGTCATTTGAACTGACCTTGTGGTCTAGTGCTTTATCCTACAGAACCACACCAGGACTCCACAACTGCACAAACACACATGCAAATACACACATACATGCATACACTTTATTTCTTAGCTGCTGAACACCTCACACACCATGACCCTTCAACCCTTCACCCCTAACTACTCAGCAGGCCTCCCCACTAACGACCCACGGCTTTTTGATTTCTTGATGACTCTGTCCTGTCCCATCACACAGATGCACTAGAGACACCCTTCAGGCCTGGGACTGAGCTCACCCCTAGCCTTGTTTCCTACCCAACCCCCCACCCCACCCGCAAACCATAGACAGGCCTCTTAGGTGTGAACAGTAACAGCAGGAAGGTGCACACACCTTAGAACAATCAACCACACGACATCCACAGGACAGCGTTAGCCCGGGGATAAAGCTCAGAAGGATCAGAAAGGAGGAGGAAAGGAAACAGGAAACAGAGGAAATGGGAAGGCTGATGTTATATAGTGAGGACTGAAACAAAATGGGTCTGAACTGTTGGATGGCAAGCTGTTGGATGTACTCTGTCAGCCTTCATCCAATTCACAATAAAGAATCCAAACACACAAGCAAATGAAGGCTGGGCCCCACAGCCCCTCCTGTGGACAGTGAGCCCCATTCACTGGACGATGATGAGTGTCCTGACATCCGTTCCTGTCACTGTAGCCCTGGACTCGTCCAGGACGCTCTGTGGACCTTCCCTGTGGGAACTGTGGACGGATAGATCCCTGTTTTCCCTGCTGTGTGGCTTTGACTCCACCCTTTGACTTCTACTCAGAGGAGGTCCCACCAGGTGACCATCAGGAAGTGGGCACTGAGGAGGAAGAAAAGGAAGGGCCCCCTGTGGACCAAGTCACAAGGCACAAAATGGAGATGCTCGTGAGGGAAAGCTTCGAGGCAAAGGACGAACTCTTCCCAGAAAAGGCCAGTGTTGAGAGGGAACTTGACCAGGTGGCCGAGAGTCTGGAACCAGAAGGGGCACTCCCAGCTGAGGCTTGGAGCCCACCAGTGGGCGCCGCAGCAGAAGGTGAGCCGGGAGAGTGGGACACCCAGAGGGACAAGCACAGGTGCTGGTGAGAAGGGGCATTTGGCTTTCCCTTTCCCACCATTGCTTCCTTGCCATCAAGCATACATTATCCCATCCCTAGAACAGCGCCTGCTAACGGTAAGCAAGCTACCATCGAGTCTTCTCTGGCTCATGGCTCCCCTGTGTAGTCAGAGGAGAACTGCTTCAAAGGAGTCTCAATGACGGATTTTCCAGAAGTAGATGGCCAGGTGTCTCTTCCGCAGCACCCCTGGGTAGATTTAAACACCTCCTACCTTGCGGTTAGCAGCCAAGCCACTAAGCAGTTTGACCATGCAGGGATGTCAAGCAGAATATAAAGAGGTCATATAGGTCATTTGGAGCCCAGATGGCACAATGGTAAGAGCTCAAGAGCTAACCGCAAGTTTGGCGGTTGGAACCCAACAGCCACTCCTTGAGAAAAAGCTGCGGCAGTCTGTAAAGCTGACAGCCTGGGAACCCACTGGGGCCAGCTGGGCTCTGTCTTGTAGGGTCACTAGGAGCCAGAATAGCCTTGAGGGCAGTGGGCTTGGCTTGGGTTTGGTTGAGGCGTCCAAGTAAAGACATGACAGCTAGGCTTAGGAGTGAGGTCGTGGGGAGGGGCTGAAGCTACAACATGGCCCAGAGTCATCACCACACAGTGACCATGGGCGCTTGCTGCCTATGTCTCTGCTTCCTCCTCCACTGGCCACTCAGGTGGGCTGCTGGTGTTTGGTCCTATGTTAATTCCTCTCAACAAAACCCCTGATGGGACCCAAGGGCTGAGACCTGCAGAGGAGGAAAAGGACATGTTTTCATCTCCTCAGTCTCTGTACCACAGTGGGAACGTGTGCACTGACTGGGTGGGGTGGTGGGGACAGGCAGGTCAGGTCTGGGGGCTCACCGTCCTATTGGGTGGTTTCCTGCCCTTGTCATTCCAGCATCGCTTTTTCCATCCTCTCATTAACCAATCCGGGTTCCTCCACCTCACCAACCTCCAGACTTCAGAAAGGGGAGAAGCTCATTCCTTCCCTTCCTTGATAGACATAGCCTTACCAACACCTCTGTCCTGCCTGTGGGTTCCATCTTCCCCTTGGGCCTGCCCATCCGACCCCTGCTGAGAAGGTAAACACCAAGATCTAGCTATTGCTGCTCCTTAGAATCGACTCTCCGCCTCGTGACCACCGAGGGCACAACCGTCACAGAACTTGGTGGACCAGAAGCGGTTGACACTGCCAGACTGGAGGCCCACGAGAAGCTCTTCATTGATGTATGTGAAGTAGTCACAGTGCAAGTTGTGTCCGTTTTACTGTTGGTCACTCGGGCAGTAAGGCACAAATCGTGAACTCCCACTATCCAAACACACTCAGCACCAGCCGGGTCGCAGGCCCCACCCCAGACACTCTGACCCTAAAGAATCTGAACGTTTCTAGGATTCCTTAGAGATTCAAATGCACACTCAAGTTTAGAAATGTTTCTCTTTCTTTCAACCACCTTATCTTAGTTCTCTACTGATATTAACACCACAAAGGGGTGCCTTTAACAAACACAGTTTTTCTCTCTCACAGTGTAGGAGGCTAGAAAACGTGTGAATCCAGGGCACCAGCTTTGGGGAAGGCTTCCTCTCTTTGTCGGTTTCTGCTCCTGGGTGACCCCCAAGTGCCTCGGCACCTCTTCTCTCTCATCTCTGCTGCTCTCGCTTGCTTGTTTCATGTCATTTATAGCTTAGGAGAGATTGACTCAAGACATACCCTGCACTCATCCTGCCTCACTCACACCACAAATCCCACACTCATCCAGTCTAATTCACAGCGCAAAGACAACCCGTGCCCAGATGGGATCTATAGATGTCAGGGTTTATTATAGCGCACTTGTGGAGAGTCATAGTTCAATACATTAACATGTCGAAGAACTAGAGATTGGTTTTCCCCAGAACAGTTTCTTCTGTCCGGTTTACCTTGCCCAAAGTCTCTCTCGATCCTTCTGAGTCAGCTGCCCACTCACGGGCTTGATGAGACTCTCCCAACCCACTGCCCATGTCGAAATTTCATGTCTAAGTTTGAGTTTCATATGTAAATGCCCAAACGTCAAGCCTGCACTGGCTCAGCAAAAGTCCAAAGGAGTGTGGTCAGCTTTGGGTCTCCAGGGTTTTTGACCTCTAACAAGAGAGCTCTTTGGCGCTGAAGGATAAGCACTACCCAGAGACTCCCATTGCACAGGTGAGGAAGTGGATGCACAGAGAGGTCAAGTAACTTGACCTGGGTCGCACAGCACAGAATTCCAGGTGGTCTGATTCTTGCGTCCATGCATTTGGCCACCACACCACACTGCCTCTCCCATGTGCCCAGACTGGTCCATGTGGATAAAGGTACTCCATAGAAACATGTGGTTATTAGCTGCCATTGATTTGACACAGACTCACAGCGATCCTATGAACAACAGAACAAAACACTGCCTGGTCCTGGGCCAACCACACAATAGTTACTATACCTGAGACCAATGCTGCTGTCATGGTGCCTCCATCTCGCTGGGGGGGTCTTCCTCGTTTTCTCTGTTTTACCAAACATGATTGATATTCTTCTCCAAGGACTGGTCCCCTCCGATGATATGTTCGAAGTATGAGAGATAAAATCTGGCCATCCTGGCTTCCAAGGAGCACTCTGGCTGCACTTCTTCCAACACAGATCTGTTGGTTCTTTTGGCAGCCCATGGCACTTTCAATATTATCCTTCAATGCCATAACTCATTCATCAATTCTTCTACAGTCTTCCTTATTCACTGTCCAGCTTTTGCAGGCATATGAGGTTATTGAAAATACCATGGCTTGGGTCAGGTGCACCTTAGTCCTCAAGCTGATATCTTTGCTCTTCAATACTTTAAAGAGGTCTTATGCAACACATTTACCCAATGCAATATGCCATTTGATTTCTCAACTGCTGCTTCCATGAGTGTTGATGGTTCATCTGAGCAAAATGAAGTCTTTGACAAATTCAATCTTTTCTCCATTTATATGGATGTTATTTATTGATCCAGTGGTGAGGATTTTTGTCTTTTTTACATTGAAGTGCAACCCATACCAAAGGCTGTGGTCTTTGATCTTCATCAGTATTTTAAGTGTATATGTATTTATTCATCAGTAAAATTTATTTATTCATCAGTAAATCCTCTTCACTTTCAGCAAGCAAGGTTGTGACATCTGCATATCACAGGTTGTTAATGAGTCTTTCTCCAACCCTGATGCCATGTTTTTCTTTATATAATTCAGCTTCTTGGATTATTTGTTTAGCATACATGTTGAGTAAGTGTGGTGAAAGAATACAACCCTGGCACACACCTTTCCTAATTTTAAACCATTCGTTGTTCCCGTGTTCTGTTTGAAACACTGCCTCATGTACAGGTTCTTCATAAGCACAATTAAGTGTACTGGCATACTCATTGTTCCCAGTGTTGTCCATAGCTTGTCATAATCCACACAATTGAAAGCAGAGTCAAGAAAACACAGGTAAATATCTTCCTGGTATGCTCTATCTTCAACCAAGATAGATCTGACATCAGCAATGATATCCCTGGTCTCATGTCCTCTTCAGAATCCAGCTTGAACCTCTGCAAGGTTTTCTTCAATGTATGGTTGCAGCCGTTTTTGCATTATCTTTAGTAAAATGTTACTTGCATGGAACATCAATGATATTGTGTGATGATTTCCGCATTCCATTGGGTCACTTCTTTTTGGAATGACCAGGTATAGATGCGTGAGTGTCTCTAGTGCTGCATCACTTTGTTGAAAAATTTCAATTTGTATTCCCTCTATTCCCGGTGCCTTCTTCTTTGTCAATGCCTTCAGTGCACCTTGGACTTCTTCCTTCAGGATCATTGGCTATTGTTCTTATGCTACCTCTTGAAATGATTGAACATCGACCATTTCCTTTGGAACAGTGACTCTGTGTTTTCCTGCTATCGTCTTTTGATGCTTTCTGCATCATTCAATATTTTGCCCAGAGAATCCTTCAATGCTGCGAGTCAAGGATTGAATTTTTTCTTCGGTTTCCTCAGCTGGAGAAGTGTGGAGTGTGTCCTTCCCTTTTGGTTTTCTAACTCCAGGTCTTTACATGTTTCGTTATCATGTTTGACTTTGTCTTCTCGAGCTACCTTTTGAAATTTTCTGTCCAGCTTTTATACCTCCTCATTTCTTCCATTTGCTTTAGCATCTCTACGTTGGAGAGCCTCTTCTGACATCTGTTTTGGTCTTTTCCTTCTTCTTGTCTTAATGATTTTTTTTTCCTATATGATGTTCTTGATATCATCCCACAACTCTTCTGGTCTTCAGTCTTTAGTGTCTAATGCATCAGCTCTGTTCTTAAGATGATCTCTAAATTAAGGTGGGATATATGCAAGGTCATATTTTGGTTCTCATGGACTTGTTTTCATTTTCTTCACCTTCAGCCTAAACTTGCATATGAGCAATTGATGATCTGCTCCACAACCTGCCCTTGGCCTTGTTTTGGCTGATGATATGAAGCTTTTCTACCATCTTTCCACAGATGTAGTCAATTTGATTTCTCTGTTTTCCACCTGGTGAGGTCCATGTATATAGTCTTCTTTTATGTTGTTTAAAAAAAAGGTATTTGCAATGAAGAAATCATTGGTCTTGCAAAATTATGTTATAGGATCTCCAGCATCATTTCTACCACCAAGGCCATAGTTTCCAATTATTGATCCTTCTCTCTGTTTCCAGCTTCTGCATTCCAGTCCCCAGTAATTATCAATACATCTTGATTGCATGCTTGCTCAGTTTCAGAATGAAGAAGCTGACAGAATTCAATTTCATCCTCACTAGCTTTAGTGGTTGGTGCATAAATTTGGATAATAGCGGTATTAACAGGTCTTCCATGTAGGTTGTTGTGTTGTGTGCCGCGGAGTCGGTTCCGACTCATAGTGACCCTACACAGGGTTTCCAAAGCTGTAAATCTTTACGGGAGCAGACTGCCTCATCTTTCTCCCGCGGAACCGCTGGTAGTTTCGAACTGCTGACCTTGCGGCTCGCAGCCCGATTCGTAACCACTACGCTACCAGAGCTCCTTATCACCCTGAATGCGCCCCATCTCGTCTGATCTCGGAAGCTAAGCAGGGTCGGGCCAGGGCCAGGTTAGTACTTGGATGGGAGACCGCCTGGGAATACCGGGTGCTGTAGGGTTTTTGTTTGGCGCATGCGCACGGCTCAGCTGCTGCCCTCCCTCCATGTAGGTATATGGGTATTATCCTATCACAGTGTTGTACTTGACAGATCTGGATACGTTCTTTTTGATGATGACTGCGACACCATTTCTCGTCAATTTGTCATTCTTGGTATAGTAAACCATGTGATTGTTGGATTCAAAATGGCCAATACCAGTCATTTTCAGCTCACTAATGCCTAGGATATCGATGTTTATGCGTTCCATTTCATTTTTGACAATTTCTAATTTTCCTAGAGTCATACTTCCTACATTCCATGTTCTGATTATTAACGGATGTTTCTAGCTGTTTCTCTTCACTTTTGGTTGTGCCCCATCAGCAGATGAAGGTCTTCACCATTCTGGTGCTGATAATGTGCCACTGCTCTCCATAAGGTTTTCAGTGACTCAATATTCTTAAGTAGTCCGTCTCTCCTTCCTAGTCTGTCTTCATTTGGAAGCTCAGCTGAAGCCTGTCCACCATGGGTGACCCTGCTGGTGTATAAAATACTCTTGGCATAGCTTCCAGAATCACAGCAACACACAAGCCACCACGTATGACAAACTGACAGACGAGTGGTGGCCATCGACACAGCACACACGAACAAACCAGCTTTAGGGAGGTCCAAGATAACTACCTTGAGTCCTCAAGTGTAGTTTACACTGAGGGAAAGGAGGAGATTTGGGTTCCCAGATGAACTGTCCGTGTTTGTAAGGAGAAAGTGGAGGACACATTTGGAAATTCCTCACGTCTCATGGTGTCTATATCACTTGGATTTGTTGGAGCCAGATGCTGAAGGAGCAGGGTGTGTGTTTTGCGTGTGGGGTTTCCTTGGATGGGGCAGTGGGTAGGGTTGTTGGTTGAGGGACTTGGGTCCCCTCTGCCTGCTGATACATTGTGGCATGATTATTGACATGACCTGAGGGAACCCTGCGTGTGTGCTCTGGTGACATGTGGCTTGTCGTTTGCTCTTTCAGGACCTACCGGACTTGGAAGATGTGGATGCCAGTGAATTTCTCAGCCAACAGGACAAGGTGAACAGGATTCTGTTTCCCACAGCCAGTGCCTCTTTCCTCTCACTTTCGTCTTGTCGTTGACGACGTTCATGTGCCAGACTTGAAAGAAAATGCTACGCATGAAGCACTCTCCCACCTCCAGCACCTCTCAAACGAAAGGGAACGTGATTGTCCCCTTCCTTAAAGTTTCACGGTGGACCCACTGGGTTACGCACCATAGCCCTGATGACAGAGCGGATTAAGGTCGGCAGTTCTAACCAGCCAGCTGCTAGACTGTCTACTCCTGTAAAAATGTAGTCTCAGAAACCCTATAGAGAACATTTCTACTCTGTCCTACAAAGTCACAAGGCAGTGGGTTGTGGTACAGTTACCGGAATACACTCTTGTCCGTGTGTGTTTGCATGTCGACACTATGAATGTCTACGGGAATCCAGCTATTCAGAGAGGAACGCAAGAGGGGGGTGGGGAATTCTCTCAAGGCTGCCCTCCCGTCCTCTCTTTGGCAGCTTGAGAAATCATTCCTGCATGTGAACAGGTAAGAGGAAATCCACAGGAGACCCAAGGTCCAGGGTGGTTTTGAAGAGAGTGCCCCCAGGTGGCTGGGGCGAGGTGTGCGTTTGACGGAAACTGGCTCAGAGACCACCTGAGAGGGCTGCTGTGGGGGCTGGGAGAGGTCGTGATGACCTGTGGGCTCAGAGGCGACTAGCCGAGCAGTACCCACTTTAGGGGGTCTCATCTTCCCTTGGCTTTAAACAGGCATGGGAGAATGCCAATATGGTCTCCTCTCATCTCCCCACATCCCTTCTGCCATTTTGTGTGGCAACAGAACACTTTGATTTCAAAATTAAAAATAAAAAGATGAAGCTGCATTTTGCAATTTCAAGGGACTCCACTGTAAAATCTGAAACATTTCGTGTTTTTTTCCTTTTCATAGAAAATGTGCTTTCCGAAGATTGAAAGCATCCCGAGCTCGTGTGAGGACAGTGACCTGGAACTGGACCACACGTCCCTCCCAGTGTGGGAAAACATGTCCACAGACACCCTTTCCAATATATTCGCAATTCCAAAAGACACCCCAAAGAAGGCTGAAGCCCCCATTACAGACATATTTCAAATCAAAGCAGAGGGGGTCTCAGAAAGTCAAAGCGAGAACACGGCATCGTCCCAACCACTGATCCAAGAACTCAGGGACCAGCCTTCAGAGCAGCTGCTGCCGTCCCTCACCTGTGAAAGCCATGCTGTGCTCCCAGCTTCTCCACCAGGTGAGGTGCCCTGCTAGTGACTAGGGGCCCAAAGCTCTGTGCAGAGATGGTCGGTTCAAGGCCAGACCTTGAAGGCACCCGTTTCTGGGGGATCTCGCCTCATAGCTCATCATAGATCATGTTCCCCAGTTACTTGTCCAGCTGTGCAGTTCTGGGCTGGGCATGTGTCCACCAGTTCTCAGTGTAGGGGTTGTGCAGTCCTAGGTCTTTCAGAGACCTAATCACTGCTGCTGAATCCATTCTGACTCAGTGACCCTCCCTGTAGGATGCACAAGGGCCCCCGTATGGTTTCCAGGGCTGTAAATCTTTAGGGAAGCAGAGAGCCTCATCTGGCTCCTGTGGAGTGGATTCAAACCGCCAACTTTTGGGTTAGCAGCTGAGCACTTAACTGTTGCTACACTAGCAGGGCTTCCTGTAGGGATGCTAAAGAACCTGCATTTCCCCTGATCCCTGCCACATATGCGAAGGCCTCTAAGGGGATGAAGGGACCAAGGCTGTGGGTCCTCCAGTGCCAAGGTCCAGGCCAGGGGGCTGGAGACAGTGACTAGATGGCCAAGGGATGCATCAAGTGAACACAGCCCAAAAAGGGGCAGGCTCGTGTGTGGGGAACAAACACATGGAGTTTGTAGGACCCAGTTTCTTTTCTTAATCAGCACCCACTTGTAGCCAAAGATCTTAAGGACAGCTGAGTAGTTGACCCGTGTTTGCAGAGGAGGAAATGAGGGGGGCTGGCCACATCCCCAGTAAAGACTGAGGTACCCTGTTTGACCCTGTAGGGATCAGTGATGCCGAGAAGGAAGTGCTCTCAGAGCACAAGCCTTTGGAGCCCCGCGAGGGAGACAAATGTGAGGACATTGAATTTGGACTGGACTGAACCCAAGGCGGCCCTTCCATCCCTTGCATGAGCTGGGACCCAGTCGCTTGGCCAACCCACTTCCTTCAGACGCCACTGCTGTTGAGAGCAGGAATGCATGCAGGGCCTCGGCTGTGGCCGTGCCCGCCAAACAGTGCCTACCTACTTCCAGTTCCTCAACCCTGCAAATGCAGCAAGCCCTCCCCCCTCCCACATCCACTTGTATTAATGGTACCAACTGTCCCTCTGAGCATTAGAAACACTAATATCCACACAAGGCAATGAGTCATGGGCAGTTTATCTCATTAGCACCCTCAGGACAGGCCCTTCTCTGATTAGACCTCGGGATCTGACCCTGGCATGTTGAAGGGTCTTTCCCCACAAAGAGCAGCAGCATCCGGTGAAGCTGCAGACCCCATGACACCTTACTTATCGCCGTGGGGAGTGCTGTCTCATCTAATGACCACCATCGGAAACCCTGTCCAGCTGACAAGGTCATTCCAGCCCCTGCTCTGAACCCAAGCATCAACCCTTACAGAGGGTGAGCAGCTGAGAGACTATGTAACACAGAGTTCACATGACCTCAGCCCTGCACATGGGCAGCCCCAGGGTCACATGGGGACACTGATGGCCCTGGGTCCTGCTTCCCCTGCAATGCCTCTGCCTCCTGGAGGCCTCACATCTAGTCCAGCTGGGTGTGTGACGACGGCCCACACCTTGTTAGCTGTGTTCCTCCGCCACCACAAGGTCTTCGTGGAAAGATGCTTCCACATTTCAAAGTCCCCCTCTGAAGGCTGTGGGGCTGGCAGGACAGCTGTCCACTACTGTCAGAAGCCCATGCGGGACTTCTTCCGAGGGGGCTGCTGTCTATAAGGGGTGCTGCGCATGCTGGAGGCCTGAGAGGGGGGTGTGACGGCAGTGCTGGGGCTGGAAGCTGGCAGCTTGGCCATGTAGTCCCGGAGGGTCTCCTGTCGTTCCACGGGGACATCTCGGACCCACAGCTCGGGAGTCAGTTCCTGGGAGAGGGGTGTTGTAGGGAGCTGGGGCTCCAGGGACGGGCAGTCAGGGCTGGCCTGAGACTTGGGGCCACTGGAGAGGTCCCAGGGGCCACTGAATGAGGAGAAGGTGCTGGAGAGTTGGGTGCGGCGCTTGTGCCGGATTGGCCTGCGGCCCAGCTCCCAGCCTCTTGCCTGTCGCCGTTCCCACCAGGCCAGCCCCCGGCCAGCCCAGGCTTCACTTAGCCGTTCACTGAGCTCATCTTCCGGGCTGGGTTCTGGAGCCGGGGACGGCTCAGATGTGGAGGTCGAGCCCAGGTCCCTAAGTCTCAGGAGCCGCCCCTCGGCCATGGCAGTCCGCAGCCCCAAGGGCACGGTTCCCTTTGTGTGTGGCTGCTCCTTGTAGGCTAAAAGGTGACGGTGGGAAAAGGTGGGTGCTGTCCATACAGAGGGTAGCAGGGCCACCTCAAGCATGGCCTGAAGCCACCGGCTGCAGTGGGCAGTGGCCTGTGGAGTCCAGGAAGCCGTGGGGAAGTGGGGCTCCTGGCCGGGGTTGCACCCAGAGTCCCTGCCGCTGTTGGAGCCCTCCTGGAGGTGAAGGTGCTGATAAAACACGTCCCCGGCCGTGGAGAGCTGGAAGAGGGCCAGGCCTGGTGTGGTGTCTGAGGGCAGGATGGTGGCCGTCAGACCTGAGGAAGGAGAGCAGGTTACTTCCGCACCCGGTTGGGGGCGCCCACCCACAACTGCTCATGCACCAACCCACGCACCTATGGTAGGAGCGTTCAGTCGTTCCTCCAGCCGCCGAAGACTTGTGGGTTCCAGGAGAGGGAACCCGGATAAGGCGTCAGTCCTTGCTGGGAGGGACTGGGGGGGACCTGCCAGCCGTGGCACGGAGGACCCCTCTCCTAAGGGGCAGACACAGCTCAGGCCCTGACTGGGTCCGGCCCAGATGGAGGCAGGCCAAGCCCGCCCGCAGGCCCACCTAAGACGACCTCACCTGAGAGTTGCAGCAGCTGCAGCTGACCACCCTGGCCTCCCAGGAGCAGGGGCTGAGGGGCGCCAGGGCGGGGTGCTGACAGCAGCTGGGCCAGCAGGGGTGCAGAGGACAGGCCGTGGGTCCACTTCAGCATGGGCACCAGGGGGAGGCGCTCGTCCACTAGGTAGAGCGAGAACTGCGGCCCAGGGAGAAGGGGTGGCGGTGGGTGTGAAGGAGATCCGGCAGCACTAGAGTGTCCTCGTGTCACCGAGAACCATCATCCATCATCCCATCCCTAAAGGCCTCATGTAGTTGCGGGGGGTCGGGGCTGCGTGATGCCTGCGCAGTTACCTGCCTGACCCACCCCCGGCCCAGGAGGTGGTGTCCTATCCCTGAAAGCTGGGCTTGCGAGATGCCTAGGGCACCCCGTTCCTCAATGGTAGGAGAGGGGGGCTACCTGTGCATACTGCCTTTCCACCTGGGACCAGGAACTACCCAACAACTCCCTCAGCTGCCAGAGGCCTTGGCTCCTCACCTGAGTGCAGATGAGGTGAAGGGTGGGATTCAGAGGTGCGGGGCTGGACTCCCCTAGGTACTGGACGAGCAGGACACGCTCCCCTTTCTGACAGGCGGCCTCTGCCCCCCCACGGAAAAGCATAAGACCACAGCCTGGTGGACCCTGGAAGACAAAGGCCGGGTCAGCCCCTTCCCACAATAAGGGCAGCGACCTCGAAACACGTCCCTTCACCTGCCTGGCTCGTTCCAGGCGGCAGGGAAAATCTGCCCCACCTCATGGATCCCCCATCAGGGCCACCATCAGCCCTGCCCCCTTCCTCAGTTGCCCAGGGGATCCGTCAGGCACGCCCACCTGCGTGTCTATCATTCTCACTCCAGTCCGATCGCCCACAGTCAGCACCCGGGGGTGGGCGGTGAAGTCCGCCCAGCGCCAGGGAGAGGGGTCTCGGAACACTAGGGTCTCAGGGTCCTTGTAAACTTGCTGCAGCCTGGTGCGGGGAGGAGATGGTTGAAGGGAGTGGGCAGAGTCTAGGGAGCAGGAGGGCTACTTGTTGCCAGGAGGGGACTGTTGGGGTAGAGGCACTTTACAAGGGCAGGCGGGGCATTACCCATCGTGGGGCGTCCACAGACAGACAGTTCCTGAGCGGCTGCAGACAGCCAGCTCCCCAGGCAGGTGGGGGCTGCAGGCAAGAGTGAAACTGAGCAGGCCACCCTCCCTCCAAGACACCCCCCCCCACAGCAGATCACCCCGCCTCGTCCCTCACCTGAGACTGACCCCAGTGGCCCCCTTGTCCACCTGCAGCACTTGGAGAGGGGCCGGCCGGCCCTGTCTGCTGACTTTCCACACAGCACAGTGGTAGTTGGAGCGCACAGCCAGGAATGCTGAGGAAGTGACAGAGGGGGTCAGGGCGTCAGCCAGCAGGTCTGTCAGGGAGGTGTCACCGGGCCTTACCTTCTCCCTGAACAGTGCGAGTCACCACCTGCCGGACAGGTCCTCGGAGCTGGATGTGGCCAGGGTCCTCAAGAACCTGGGGGTTGCCAGCTGGGGTCAGACTGACCTCTTGGAAACCTGGGCTTTGTGCTAAGGATCAGTGCAAGAGCTGTGGGCACTGCACACCCCCAGCTCCCTACCCTTCCATCCCCCCGAGGGCCAGTGGCAGGATACACAGCTTGTCCAGGGCCCCTCCACTGGGGTACACCAGCTGCCCGACTGGGGTGGTCCCCCGGGGCAGCCACGCCAGGGCCCCCCCGGTGACAGTATCATCTAAGAGCAACTGCCCCCAGCGTCCTGCCAGCTCTTCCTGCAACAGCTCCCCCAAGAGGCTGGCCATGGACCTGCCCAGAATGGAGCCCCCGAGGATGGAGAACCTGCGCTGTCGGTGGCTGAGGGACGCCCATGGACACCTAGGGTGGAGAGGAACACTGGAGTCAGTGCAGGGGACTCTCCTTTCTCATGGACCTGTGACATCTTCCTCTGGGCCGCTGTCCCTCCCTGACCCATCAGAGTGCTTCACTGCCCGGCTCCTACATAAGCAGGAGACCTGGGCCAACCCATCCCAGTCCTTCCTGGAATGCCTGCTGGTGCTCAGGTAAGACACTGGCTCTTTCCTCAGGATAAAAGCCATCCCACTGCTACTTGGAGGCAGCCTATGGTTAAGGCTGAGGCCCGCGGATTAGAAAATGCTAAGAACTAAGCCCTTTAACACCTGGATGCAGCCGTGCCTAAAGTCCACAATTTACACAAGTCCCTAAGTTTCCTTTTTCAAGCTAGCTGGGGTTAAGCGATTTGTAGACGTCCAGTTAGCCTGTGTTGACCACACAAGGGAAGGGTATCCATGTGACTGCTGCGTGTCCCTGCTCTCCAGTTCCCCTCACATCTCCCTGCCCTACCCTCTCTCACTGGCCAGTTACCCCCAGGGCTGGTGTCCACCGAGGTCCTGGAGCAGCCGTTTCACACTGACCACTGTCTTCTTCTTAGAGCGGCTCTGTGTGGAAAGGCCCTGTCACACTCGGACATCCTAATGCTCACCCCCAAAGGCAAGTGGGAGGCCCTGCTGGCCGCAACAGCCCACTCACTCGTGCGCCCTCCAGTTTGAAATTGTCCAGCATCAGGTTTCCCAGGGGCCCGAAGGCAATGTCCCCGTGGTCCCACAGGAAGCGACTGAGCTGGAGGAGGACAACACCAAGGTCATGGACATGGCTGTGTCACCAAGCACGGTCTCTGGACCAGGCCGCAGGACCCATGGGAGACCCCTTACCTGTTCAGTAACATCCAGTGTGACCCGAGGCCGTCTGCAGAAGTGGTGACCACCCCGGCAAAGCAAGTCCTGGGCTTTCAGCCCAGGGTCCCAGGGGTCTGTGGGGAGAGGTTCAAGAAGGAGTCTGGAGGGACAGGGGCCCCAGCGGGCAGGGCAGAGGCACAAGCCCCTTACCAGGACTAGGCGGCAGCAGGGGAAAGGGTCCCGGCGTATTGGGTTCCCACCACAGCTCCTCAGCAACCTGCAAGATAAACCAGGACCACAAAATACAGCAGGGCGTCTTGAGCACTGCATGCTCATTAAGCCGTCTGTGACCACGTTAGTTTTGGCTCTAAATCCTTTGCTGAGGTTTTTGCGTTACGGGAGTGCAAGCTGATTATTGCATTTACCTGAATGGATTCTTGGGAGGGGGGGTGGAGTGACTGGATTGATGGGAAACATACGCCCCTCTGGACCCTTTCGCCAAAGTTGGTAGGCTGTATATGAGGGGGCTTCAGAAAGTTAGTTGTGCCACTCCATCTCACTGAGGGCTCCCCTGGTTTTTAAACCCTCTAACTAAGGTGTGCCTGACCCAAGCCATGGTATTTTCAATAACTTCATATGCATGTGAAAGCTAGACAGTGAATAAAGAAGACCGTAGAAGAATTGATGCATTTGAGTTATGGTGTTGGAGGAGAATATTGAAAGTGTCATGGGCTGCCAAAAGAACCAACAGATCTGTGTTGGAAGAAGTGCAGCCAGAGTGCTCCTTAGAGGTCAGAATGGCCAAACTTCAGCTCTCATACTTCAGACATATTGTCAGGAGAGAACAGTCGCTGGAGAAGGATAACATGTTTGGTAAGGTGGAAGGTCAGAGAAAAAGAGGAAGAGCCCAATGAGATGGATTGGCCAAGTGGCAGCATCGATGGACTCAAGTGTGGCAACAGCAGTGAGGTTGGCCCAGGATCGGGCAATGTTTCATTCTGCTGTGCATAAGGTCGCTATAAGTTGGTGCCAACTGGACGGCACCTAACAACAACAACAACATCTGATCAACCACGAGTGTCTCCAGTGCGTCCAGGAGAACTCGGCAGGAAACTGCAGATGCTCAGTGACGTGTGGGCCAAAGAAATGAGGAGTGAGGAGAGAACATGCCAACAGCTCCCGCTATCACTGAGAGGCATCCCCTGGGCTCTGGAAGTGGGGACTCTGGCTCAGCCTGGGTCTCTGCAGCCCTGCCCATTGTTGGTGTGAAGACCAGAAGACAGGACGGAGTGAAGGGGTCCCAGGACGGAGTGAAGGGGCCTGCCTGGGAGCTGCTATCCTCACCTGGACTCTGCTCTGAGGCAGGGACTCCGGCAGGGTCAGAGCATCTCTCCAGCTGCACGTAGAATACAGGTCTGGGACATTGCTAAGACCAAGGGGACCACTCATAAACAGCGTGGGGCGCAGAGGGCTGGGGAAGTCCATCCTGTAATACAAGAACCACATGGCACGCTGACCTTCCAAAGACGGGACCCCAATGATGGCATATGGGGCTCCTGGGAGAGTGACAAGTACCCCCAGAGAAGTCCCCACTGCTGTCAAATCGATTCCGCCTCACAGTGACCCCATAGGACACAGTAGAGCTAACTACCCCATAGGGTTTCCGACACTGTCAATCTTTTCGGGAGCAGACTGCCTCATCTTTGTCCAGTGGGTCTTTGGGGAAGCCAATTATAAAAACAAATGATAATGCAGCCTAATGTCAAGTAGCAATGAGTGTCCCCACCAGGAAGGGGACAGTAATGGGCTGAGGCTGCAGTTTTAACAGGGGATCAGAAAAGTGTCGCTGACAGGTGCTTCTGAGCAGAGAGCCATGCATGCCAGAGAATAGGGTCCCAGGTGGGACAAACAGAGTACAAAAGTCCTGGGGCAGGAAAAGTGCCGGAAAGGAAGGAGTCTCACAGTGAAACAGAACAAGTGAGGAGAGTGTGAGGGATGACGTCGGACAGGTGCACGCGGAAGTTTCCAGCCCAGCTCTAAGCAGCGTGCAGCTCCAACTCCCAAGGAGGGGCTCAAGTTCCCCGAAAGCCAGGGGCTGAATCTTGCCCCCTATCCTCCCGCTGTTAGGCGCAGACCCTTGCAGAGAGAACACGCTGAGTGTGCTGAATGAGGAGGCATTGAAGTCAAAGGGCTTAGAGAACAGAGCGCTCTAGAGGAGGAAACCTGGTGAAGCACTGTAGGCTTCGCTCTTCTATCGCCCCCATCATTGGGATTCAGGAAACAAGACGATCAAGAAAGGAATATTTGTCTAAGTTCAACAGCTCATAAGCCAATAGTTGATCGACTATGCAAGTCCAAGTGGGTGCCCTAAACCCCCTCCCCCTCGTGAATCCAAACTGAATGTTGCACAGAAATCATTGCCCAGGCAACTCCTGTTGCATTTTATCAGTGTATGTTGTGACCTCTGCACACACAGTTACCTTCAGCCCCAGTCATGACAAATCTGCACAGTGCGGCTGAATGAGAGCTTCCCAGAGTGGGCATTAGCCTCATTCTAATGTGGTTGATATGCCTGGCTTGTCTCTCCACTGGATTGCGGGCTCCCTGAGGGCAGGAACTGTACTGCCTTTACTCTTTTGCCCCTGGTGTGAAGAAGTTGCTGCTATGGTTCGCTTTTCCATGGAGGAGAGGCTAGTGGTAGGGATGCAGCAGGTTTCCAGGGAATCCCTGAGAAAAGCTCTCGCTTCTGGAGGACGGAATGCCCAATTGTGGTTAAGGGAGAGCTCCCCAGCCTCTCCGAGGTGGCTGCAGTCCTGTGACTCTACAGACAGAACCTGCGTCTCCCACGCTCCTCTCTGTTCCTTGGGCTCCAACCACAAATGGGAGACTTTAACGAACTGATATCACAGAAACGACACAAGTGGGAGACTTGAACTTTAGGAGGTCAGAATCCTGGATATCAGCGCTGTTGTTGTTCATTGCTATCAGGCGATTTTGACTCACAGCAACCCTCTATAGAGTTTCCGAAGAGCGCCGACCAGCCTTGTGATTCAGTGCTTACCCTACAGCGCTCCACCGGGACTCCCGTGTGGTTATTAAGTGCGATCTGGTATAGGGTTTCCGAGGAGCCACTGGTGAGCTTGAACCTCCGACCTTCCGGTCCAGCGCATGAAGCCGCAGCACCACAATCACCCCTCTGCAGAGAGTTAAGTAACTTGTTCCAAAGCCACTTAACTCTTCTCTCTGACCCGAGACCCCATCATCTCTCGACACCCGGAGGGCTGCGCTCTCTTTACTTACGTGCTCAGACCTCGGAGTGTTCGTCTGGAAAACGGGTCCCCGTGCAACGTTCTCCTGAGCCCTGTCCCGCGAGGGAGCCCCAAACTGACACCCACGCGACAGCGAACTCAAAGGAACAGCATCCACCATGTGAATGAACGGTTTCCGGGTGTGACGGGAAGTGCTGTCTTTGACACAGGAAGTCCCGCCTCCCAGATCGGCCTCCCGGGCGTCTGCGAGCGCCATCTCCCGGGCGGAGGGGGAATGGGCTACAGGCGGAGAGCTCAATCCCAAGGCTGGGAAATGCTATCTAGTCAGTTGCGACACATTTGTTGTTCTTTAAGCGTCATGGAGTCTGTTCTGACACATAGCGACCCTGTAAAGGAGCTCTGGTAGAGTAGCGGTTACGAATCGAGCTGCTAACCTCACGGTCAGACGTTTGAAACTGCCAGCCGTTCCACGGTAGAAAGATGAGGCTTTCTGCTCCCGTAAAGATTTACAGCCTCAGAAATCCTGTACATAGGGTCGCTATGAGTCAGGACCAACTCCAAGGCACATAACAATAACATAAGGTTTCCAAGGATTGGCTGGTGAGCTTGCACCTCCTTCCTTGCAGTTTAAACCGACTTTGCAGCCCAGTGCATTAACCCACAGCGCCACACAAGGATTCCAGTGTAGCTGGTGGGTTTGAACCTCTGACTTTGCGATTAGCAGCCCAGTGCTTATCCTACAGTATCATACCAGAAGTACCAATGCTGTTGTTGTTAAGCACCATCGAGTCGGTCCCGACCCATAGCGACCCTGTACAGGGTTTCCGAGGCTGTAAATCTTTACGGGAGCAGAAAGCCTCATAGAGTAAAAGTAACCCATGAGGTTTACAAAACTGTAAATCTTTCTGAAGGCCAACTGTCACATCTTTGTCCTGCAAACAGGAGGGTTCCAACCGCTAACTTCGGGCCTTGGCTAGCTTAACCATGGCACTACCAGGGATCCTCATCTTTAAGGCAGTGGTTCCCAAACACTAACTTGCGTCTACTACGCCGCCCACTGAGGGTATTAAAAAAACTGGGTCTACCCCAGTTTCTGATTCAGTAGATGTGAAGTTGTTGTTAAGTGCTCTTGAGTCGGTTTTGAGGCTGTAAATCTTTGCCGGAGCAGAAAGCCTTATCTCCCCCCACCCCAGAGAGGCTGGTGGGCTCCAAACACCGACCTTGAGGTTTGCAGTCCAGTATTTATCCTACAGAGCCACTGTGTTCCCCTGTAAAGATGTGGAATGACACTTGATAATTTCTAAGTTTGATACTGGCTGTGTAGGGACCAGCCCAGCAACGGTCAAGTTGATTCTGACTGATGGTGATCTCATGCAGAGTAGTAGAACTGTGGTCCTACAAAGCTGATTTTTTTTGGAAGCAGTTTGCCAGGGTTTTCTTCTGAGGCCCCTCTGAATAAACTTGAGCCTCCAACTTTTCAAACTGAGCACATTAGCAGCTTGCACCACCCAACAATAAAGTTTTAAAATTTAGATCGGAATGATTCCGTGAGGTTTTACAATCATGAGCACCTTCATTTATTAGATGAAGAAACCCCAGGCTCAGAGAGGTTTAGTAGCCGCGGTAGTGTGGGATGGTTGGTATGTGTGACAGGCTGCAGGTTGCAGTTTACGGGTGACATAAGGTGGCAGCCAGGATGGGAAGGAGTCTCTGGTGGCTCTTAGACCAATGTCCCTGGTCTTTGATTCCTGAAGACCACCCAAGGCTGGAAAAGAGGCTGCTGGGAGCTCTATGCGCCCCTCACCACCTAAACCCCTTCCCCTACCCCTCGTTAGAATGGCATTCCACTGGCTTCTGACTCTTAGTGACTCTGTATAGGGTTTCTAGGCTGTAAATATCTTTACCTGAGCAAAAAGCCTCATCTTTCTATCAAGGAGCGCCTGGTGGACTCGAACTGCTCATAACCTACCACACTACCAGGACTCCTTGAAATGGCCTGGGGTCAGCTCAGTCCTGCAATTAACCAAGACCGGTATCGTCTCATGGCTTGGCAGGAGGGCGTGTCTCAAGAAGCAGCTGCTTGGGACTGGGTGGGTGGGTGGGTGGCCATGTCTGTGGAGAGGGGGGACACGAGGGTGCCTGTCCCGGAACTAGGCCTTTACATTGGCTGGGCAAGTGGGAGCGGAGCTAGAGATGCTCTGCCCTAGAGACAAGCCTCTCCATTGGCTAGGAGGGCAGGGGCGGGGCTAGAGATGCTCTGCTCTAGAAATTGGCCTTTCCATTGGCAGGGCAGTTGGGCGGAACTCTCGATGCGCCGCGTGCTTATTCCAGAGCCGCTCAGTGTGTGTAAAAGAGCATGCGCAGCGCAAAATCTGACTGTCCGCACCGTCTTGACCTCGAGTCTAGTCATGGCTTCTCGGGCCAGCGTGCCTCAGGGTGGCGATAGTGGTCACAGGAAGCCCCGCCTGGCAGCATCACTGAAAACCCGCCCTGGGCCCAAGCCCTGGCGGCCCTCGGCCTCTCAAAGCCAAGATCCCCTGGAGGACCTCAGCGTGGAGGAAGATGCTGGTGGCAGACTGCCACAGGCCTCTGCGACGGGGGACGGTGGGCCGGGCTGGGGACCGGAGCGGGTGGGGCAGGTGTAGCCCGGACCGGCAGTCGTGGGGGACTTCCTCGGGGTGTCTTTCTTCCTCGCAGGACCCACCAGGGACTTCGGGACGACGGCCAGGCAGCTCAGAGACCCGCCCCCGGGCCAGGCCGTGGCCTTGCTCACGCAGTACGCGGCCAGCCAGGGTGCCTCCCTCGTCTTCCAAGAGGACCCAACGGCAGGTGGGCATCTGGCTACCGGTGTGAAGTGATGGGCTGGGTCACGGGACCAGAGTGGGAGGTGGGCACTGGTCTCTGGGCCGGGTGACCGCCTGATGACCAGCGGACCCCACAGGAAGTGAAGGGCCATGAATAGACTCCCTGTGAGCTGTACACTAGTCACTATCAGAGGTGAAGAGACATACCCATACCCCGAGCTACCCAGTCAGAGCGCACACTGTGTGGGTCCTGTATTGGAGACAGCTGAAGGAGGACAACACATGCCCGTTCTCCTTCATCAAATGCAATCCCAAACCCACCAGCTTAAACAAAGCAATACCCCAGGTCCTAAGTTCAGGCTTCCAACAGGCTCCTGCCAGTTTCTTAGGAGATAGTAAAGGAATCATTGCTCCAACAGTAGCAACATTTTTAACCATCCTAAGAGCAACAACAAAGAGCCACTCAAAGGAGTCCTGGCAGCATGGTGGGTTACATTTTGGACTGCTAACCACAAGGTCAGCGGTTTGAGTCCACCAGACGCTCCAAGGAAGAAAGATGAGGCTTTCTGGTCCTGTGAAGATTTACAGCCTCAGTGACCTTATACAGGGTTGGTGTGAGTTGGATCAAGTCTGTGGCAGTGGGTTATTTTAAAAGAGAACCCCAACAAATCCTTGGGAGGTGCTTGGTTGCTAACCAAAACGTTGGAGGCTTAAGTCTACCCAGAGGCACCTTGGGAAAATGGCCCCGTGTTCTACTTCTGAAAACTCTGTGGACCAGCTGGTAAGAAAGCCCCAAATGAACGGCTCAGAAAGAGACGATCCTAACCAGCCCTGGAGTCTGGGATGACATGCCTGGCACTGTTTGAAGGCTTCCAGCATGGTAACTCATCAACTCCTCACAGAGACTTGTGAGGTGGGGATGACACTCTTACCACCATCTTGCAGGTGGGAAGACTGAGACCAAAGAGGTCACATACACAGTGAGCCAGTGCTGAGCCACTGCCGGTGCCCTCTTTTACATGGTTTTAAGTCATAATCTTTCTTTTTTCTTTTGAAAAGATTTCAAACAGTACTATAACGAACTCCCATCTGTTCTTCCCTTGTATTCACCAGTTAACATCTGACACATTTGCTTTGTAAGTGTGTATCTCTCTCTATTTATTATTTATATGTAAACTTAACTGTTAAGTGTTACTGAGTTGGTTCCAACTCATAGCAATCCTTTATAGGGGTTCCAAGGAGTGGCTGGTGGATTTGAACCATTGACTTTGCAGTTAGTAGTTCAGTGCTTATCATACTCTGCCACACCAGGACTCCATAGCCACATTATTTTTACAGTTAATGTGAGAATTTGTCAACACTGTGTCTCTTTATCCCTACACATCTTAGTGTGTATCCATAACGACAAAGACATTATCTTATATAAATAAGTATGGTTGTTGTTGTTAGGTATTATCCATCGTCGAATCAGTACGCTGCCTGGTCCTGTGCCAACCTCGCAATCATTGCTAGCTTGAGCCTATTGCTGCTGCCACTGGGTCACTCCATCTCATTGGGGGTGTTCCACTTTTTCTCTGACCTTCCGTTTTACCAAGCATGATGTCCTCTAGGAACTGGTCCCTTCTGATCATATGTCCGAAGCATGAGACTAAGTGTGGTCATCCTGGCTTCTGAGGAACATTCTGGTGTACTTCCTCCAACACAGATTGGTTTGTTCTCTTGGTACTTTTAATATTCTCCTCCAACAACGTAACTCAGATGCATCTATTCTTTGGTCTTCCTTAGTCACTGTCCAACTGTCATATGCATATGGAAATATCATGGCTTGGGTCAGGGGCACCTTAGTCCTCAAACTGACATCTTTTTTTTTTTTTAATGTTTTATTGTGAATTATGTGATAGTTTACATGGGAGAACATTAGTTTTACATTCATTCTATCGTATATCATCTCATTGCCATGGTTACAACCCCCTCCATGCAATCCTTCCCCCCGTGCCCTCCAGGTCTTCAGCACACAGTCTCTCTCCCTCTCTGGATCTAAAATCTCCAGCTGCTCCATCGCTCCACGTCATCATCTCTGGCTCCATTTCAGGCATCACTGCTTCTCTGGTTAGGGTCCTACTCTCTGCTCTTCTCCCTTGATGGTCCTAGGGACTTCCGCTCCTAAACTGAAAAGTTAATCACTCCCCTCCTTGCTATAAAACGTCTATCTTTACATTTCCGACCCTCACAAACAATCCTGATAACAATTACTCACTATTGTATCACAAGAGACCCGTCTGCATTTCATTGCATCAGCCCTGCCTAGTCAGATTGAATACTACTCACTGGAGATTCTACCTTCCTCCAGGCCCTCTGGATCTAGGTTCCCTCTTGAAAGCTTGTAAGCCAGTCACTTCTTGCCTTTGTAACCCCCCGCCCCCCATTTTGGGTAGCCAATGTCCAAGTTGCCCATCCCTGTCTGCTCTGTGTGTGGAGGAGGTGGGAATGATTCTTGCTGTAAGGACTTGTTCCCTCTTGAGCTACTGCTTCCATAGGTGTAGGTCAAGTTCATCAAATTGTATGAGAATACCTTTTTTTTTTCCCCCCCTCTTCTTTTTACTTCTGGTTGAGCTCTGATCATCCAGTCATTGAAGCCAGGACAAGTGGGTATTATCTGCACGTGTGGGTGTTCTTATGCATATGCCCTCTCTTCTTATCAGCTGGACGCTTCACTCTCCACTCTAGTCCTCTGTGGCTATGTCACTGACTCTGGGCCCAAGAGTCCCCAGGTCTTGCCACACTGCTGGCCAACCTCAAACTGACATCTTTGCTCTTGAACATATTTGCCTAGTGCAATACAGTGTTTGACTTCTTAACTGCTGCTTCCATGAGTGTTGATGGCTGATCTGGGCAAAATGAAGTCATTGACAACGTCAATCTTTTCTCTGTTTAACTTGCTTGATGTTATTTATTGGTCCAGTGATGAGGATTTTTGTGTTTTTTTTTTTTTTTTTTTTTTTTTTTGAGGTGCAACCCATAATGAAGGCTGTGGTCTTTGATTTAACTCAGTAAGTATTTTAAGTCCTTTTTGCTTTCAGCAAGTAAGGTTGTAACATCTGCATGTTGCAGGTTGTTAAAAAGAGTCTTCTTCTAATCCTGATGCCACTTATTCTTCCTATAATCCAGCTTCTCTGATTACTTGCTGAGCAGAATGAATAAGTATGGTGGAAGAATTTAACACTGGTGCACAACTTTCCTAATTTTAAACCATTCAGTGTTCCCTTGTTCTGTTGGAACAACTGCCTCTTGGTCTAACAGGTTCTTCATGAGCACAATTAAGTGTTCTGAAATACTCATTCTCCATGACATTTATAGTTTGTCATGATCCTCCACATAATTGAAAACCTCTGTGTGGTCAATAAAGTAAATGTATACATCTTTCTGGTATTCTCTGCTTTCAGCCAAGATCCATCTGATGTCAGCAATGATACCCTTTCTTACAAGTCCTCGTCTGAATCCAGCCTGAACCTTTGACAGTTCTCTGTCAATGTACTGTTGTTGTTTTTAAATTATCTTTAGCAAACATTTACTTGCATGCAATATTAATAACTGTTCAATTATTTACTCATTCTGTTAGGTTACCTCTCTTTGAAATGGGCACAAACATGCATCTCTTCCGATCAGTTGGCCAGGTAGCTGTCTTCCAGTTTTTTTTGTTTTTTGTTTTTTCTTGGTTGAGAGAGTGCCTCCAGTGCTGTATCAGTTTGTGAAAGATTTCAGTTTGTATTCCATCAGTTCCTGGAGCCTTTTCTTTGCCAGTGACTTCTGTACACCTTGGACTTCTTCCGTCAATATCATTGGCTCTTGATCAGACGCTATCTCTTAAAATGTTTGAACACTGGCCATTTCTTTTTATTACAGTGATGCTCTGTATTCCTTCCATCTTCTTTTGATGCTTTGCATCATTCAATATTTTCCCCTTAGGATACTTAAATATTGGAAGTCGAGGCTTGATTTTTTTTCTGCAGTTCTCTCAGCCTCAGAAATGCAGAGCCTGCCTTCCTGTGTTTGTACAATGGAGCCAGACCTTCTGTCTCCGGTCTCTAGTGCTGCAGAAATACCACAAGCAAGTGACATTAGTAAACCGACATTCATCTTCTCACCGTTTAGGAGGCAGAAATGTAAATTCAGGGCCCCAGCTCCAGGGGAAGGCTTTGAGGGAGGGTCCGAGTCATTGATATGCCGCTGGGTCAAGGAGGTACCCAGGGCAGAGACCCCAAGTCCAGAGGACACAGTCCACTCGTGACTCTTCTTTCTTAGTGGTAGCAGGTCCCTCTGGTGTCTGTCTGCTTGTTGAATCTCTTTCATGTCTCAAAAGAAACTGACTCCAGATACAACCGAGTCCTGCAGATGATGTCTGGCTTCATTAACATCACTGCTGCTAATCCTGCCTCCTTAGCATTGTATCGGGAAACCCACTGCCATCTAGTTGATTCTGATTCAGTTTTTCTGAGACTGAATATGGGGGCAGACTGTCTTAGCTTTCTGCTGGTGGGTTTGAATTGCCAGCCTTGCAGTTAGCAGTCTAGTGCCTAACCTGTAGCGCCACCAGATACCTTCGTTAGCATCGTGCTTAGGAGGATTTGCTACACACTAGTTCACAGAATGCAGGATGATTATAGAATGCTGAGATTTCTAGCCCTTGGTTTTGGGGAACACAGTTAGGTCCATAGCACCTCCCTGCCCCAGAGGGGTTTGTTGGGGGACCCAGTCCAGTTCCGATGAGGCACGTGCTGTGGACAGTGGATGGCCTCAGCAGTTCGTGGGGAGGAAGCTGTCCTACCCACTCCTAGATGTGGCCCACGGTGTGGGTGGAGGTCAGGGGGCCGCTTCACTGTCCCTCCTTCCCCAGGCCCCTGCCCCCCCTTCTCGGTGAGCGTGGAGCTGGATGGGGTTGTCTGCTCAATGGGCAATGCCAACGACAAGTCAGAGGCCAAGCGGCAGGCGGCTGTGTCTGCCCTCCGCTACATTAGGACTCACCTGGAGGACCCAGGTAGAGGGGCCAGGGCCCTGTGTTCCCCCACAGGCAGGAGGCAGGGGAGGTACTCTCCTGCGGGGGGTGGGGGTGGGAGGTAGCTCTGTGACATGCATGTGTGTGGACATGTGCACACATACGTGGAGGGGTGGTTTTGGCACGACACGTCTGGGGTGGGGAATGTGCTGAGCCCTGTTCTCATGCCCCTTGAAGCCCTACCCATGCTGGGGACAGGGCTTGCTACCTGGGTTGTTGGGGGCCTTCTGGTCCTGGAAGAGGAAGGTCTCATCTCTGTGGCACCTTCACTTCCTGAAGGGTGGAGGGCAGATCCAGAACCTTGTCTCTCTTCCAGAGCCCCCCAAGACCTCTGGCCAGCCACTTACACCGCTGAGTGCAGGTAGATGGGCCCCAGCCAGCCCTACCCTGTGGCTCCCCTGACCTGGTCCTGGTGACAAAGGTGGCCACCCCCCCTTGCCCTCTCCCCTTGCCCAGAGAGCATTGTGACACACCAGCAGCGCTGTGCGGCCGTGGTCAGCGCTGGCTTTGACCGCCTGTTAGATAAGAGCTCACCATACTGGGCCTGCAAGGGAACCGTGGCTGCGGTTATCCTGGAGAGAGGTAGGGACCACTGCCCTGGACCACCACCCCAAAGACTGCTGCCCGGGTCCTTTGCCTTAGGCTGGGTGTCTCTCTACCTGTTCCTTGCTCAGAGGTCCTGGGTGCCAGGGGCCACGCTAAGGAGATCTATGAGCTGGTGGCACTGGGCACAGGCAGCAGTTGCTACATGGGCTGGCTGGAGTTCGCAGGCACGTGTCTCCATGACTGTCACGGGCTGGTGATTGCCCGCCGGGCCCTGCTGAGGTGAGGTGAGGGGTGGCCACCTGCTGGACTGCTGGGTGACAGGTGCTCAGCAGCCCTGTGAGGAGGTGTGGTGGGGACACGGCAGCGCCCCGCCCTTCCTTTGTCTGTTGCTCCCAGGTTCCTGTTCCGGCAGCTTCTGCTGGTGACACAGGGGGGTCCTAGGGGTAAGGAGCGGTCAGTGCTGGCCCCCCAGCCTGGACCTGGGCCCCCCTTCGCCCTCAAGCCGGGGATCTTCCTGCATCTCTACGTCAGCAATACCCCCAAGGGAGCAGCTCATGATTTCTAGTATGGGGGAGCCCTGGGAGGATGGGGGCAGGGAACAGCCCTATCATCTAGTATGGGGGAGCCCTGGGGGATGGGGAACAGCTGTGACATCTAGTCTGGGGGATGGGAACAGCCCTGTTATCTAGTATGGGGGAACCCTGGGGGATGGGCAGGAAGCAGCCCTGATGTCTACTATTCAGGGGGGTTTGGGGGACCGGAAGCTGCCCTGACATCCAGTATGGGGGTGGCCTAGGAAGCAGGGTGGGGGTGGGGGAGCAGGGGCAGCCCTGACTCTCACCCCTGTTCTCTGTCCCTCTGTCCCTCTGCAGCCTCCCGTCATCCCCAAAAGGCAGCTTTCTGCACAGCCCCGTCTTCCGCCTGCAGGCCCACATCCGTGGGCAGCTGAAGCCAGTGGACTACGTGGCCCCTGCACTTCGTGACAGCCATGTGGGCTGCCTCTCAGCGAGTGACAAACTGGCCCGCTGGGCTGTGCTGGGGTTGGGGGGTGCCCTGCTGGCCCATTTCCTGCCGCCTCTGTATGCCACCAGCCTCGTTCTGGGTGAGGGGCTCTGGGGGGCACAGGCTTGGAACATGAGGTCTGGATGCTGTGTTGGGAGAGAAGAAGGGGAGGCAACTCAACTTCCCTGGTGTCTTCTGTCCCCACAGCAGACCCCTGCCATGATCCCCCGACACTAAGCAGGGTCATCCATACCCGACCCAACCTGGATGGGCCTGAGCAGCTGTGCCTGCCGGCCCCCTACGTCCGTACCACCTTGCACCTGTTTGCAGGACCCCCTGTGGCCCCCTCCGACTCCACCTCCAGCCCCTGCCAAGGCCTGAGCCTCAACTGGAGTCTGGGGGATTCTGACATCGAGATTGTGGACGTGACCACTGGGCGAGTGAAGGCAGAGTGAGAAGGGGACAGGGGAGCCAGGATGGAGGGAAGCTGGCGGGCAGGCAAGGGCCCACGTGCTGGAAGGGGCTCAGGTGGAGTGCTCAGCCACCTTCAGGCCCCTGGTGCTCACCTGGGCGCTGCGGTTGTTTGGAGGGCCTCCAAGGACACACCTTGCAGGGCATGATGCTGGCCCTCTTCCCGCAGAGGAGCTCCTGGGCCTCCCTCCCGTCTCTGCAAGGCTGCCTTTCTGAGGGCCTTCCAGCAGGCCGCCCAAGCTCTGGAAAACCCCCACCTCCTGGCCTTGAGAACCTATGAGGCAGCCAAGGTCAGTCCCTCCCACCCCCATCCCGCCATCTCCACCCACCAGCACCCAGCGACCCGCCTCATGGCTCTGCTCCCGCTCTAGGCCGGACCCTACCAGGAGGCACGCCAGCAGCTGTCTGCTCTCCTAGACCAGCAGGGCCTGGGAGCTTGGCCTTCGAAACCGCTGCTAGGCAAATTCAGAATCTGAACCCATCTCTTCAGGCCATGTCTAGGCCCAGGTGGACCCTGGCCTCTGGAGTAGTGTCCTGTTGGGGGTGGAGTGGGGTGAGGGTGGGGATGGAGGAAGGGTCCGCACATCTGGGTGTGAATAAAGACTGTGTTTCTTTGACTTCTGTGTGTTGTCTTTTTTTTTTTTTTTTTGCGCGGATAGGGGACAGGAGGTGTCCCTGAGCTCATTGATTGAAGGGTGGAGCCCTTTGTAGACATCATTCTATGGGGGCCTCTCAGCTGGAGCCTCTGCATTGTTTACGGCACCCGCACGCACAATGGAATAACACACTGCCCAGTCCCGCACCATCCCCACGATCCGTTATGGATCAGACTGTTGAGGACCACCGGGTTTTCACTAAGTGATTTTCAGAAGGTGATCACCAGCCCTGTCTTTCTAGTCTGTGTTGGTCTGGAAGCTGCATGGAAACCCGTTTGGAATCACAGTACCACACAAGCCTCCTCCAACTGTCCATGAGGTGCCCTGGCCAGCAATCGAACCTGGGTCTCCAGTGTGGAAGGCAAGGAGGCTACCACTGACTGCCACATCTTTCTTGGAATGCCTGATGGATTCAAACCATTTTTCAGTTAGCAGCTGGGCACTTTACTTCTTTCTGTAGTCTTAATTGGGATGCCAACCCCACTTGGGTGTGGGCCAGAAGGGACTTCCCTGGATGTAGTGGGCCTTATGGGGTGGGGGACCATCTCCTCACAGTCCTCTTTGGAGGCTTCTTGGCTCCCAGGTTTCCCAGGACTTGGGCAGAGCAGGGAGGAGTGGCAAGGAAACAGCCACATCAGCTGGGTAGAGGTGTGGGCTGGGCGTAGGGAGGATGTGGAGGGTATGGTATTGGCTGTACCCCACCTAGTCCAGAGGGGATGTGGCCCAGCTTGGGATGAGGATAGGGGTAGCCTGAGGCTCTGTGGTCCTCTCCTCTCTCCAGGGTACAGTGAGCCCCCAGAAATACTGGTCCTCTGGGAACCTCAGCCAGCAAGGAAGACAGCAAGCCCCACCAGGGTACATTATCAGAAGGGTAGCACCGAAACAGCTGCCTGTGAGCTGTTTGAGCAGCGTTTCAGTTGTTAGTGCCAGCCCAGTGACCCTGTACAGGCTTTCCGAGGAGCGGCTGGTGAGTTTAAACTGTCGACCTTGTGGTTCAAATCTACTGCACCACAACAAGGCATTTAAAATTCTTTATAAAAATACCCCTGCTGTTATTTACAACAACAAAATCATTTTTTGTAAGCCCAGTTTACATGTAACAATAATACCCACAGGACTAAAGTCACTATGCTCATTCGTCTAACTCTCTCTGGTCAGAGCTGCCATTATTTCTCAATGACAATGACACTCCAAATCACACGGTTTCATCCGCATGTGCTACAAAATCATTCTCCTGCTTTGATACTTGCTGATTTTGTCAAGTTTTCTGGTGTCTTCGCTACAATATTGTGGCAAGTAGTATTTGTGAAAGAGCATGGTGGCTCTATAGGATGAGCCCTGAACGGTGAACCATAGGTGGGCTGTTTGGGTCCACCAGTTGCTCCTTGAGAGAAAGATGAGGCTTTCTGTTCCCACAAAGATTTACAGCCTTGGAAACCCTGTGCAGGCTTGCTTACTAACAAGTCTTCGTGAATCTTTATCCTTTTCTGAGAATAGTCATTAAAGACAAAGAAAAATATAAGAAGATTCCGCTCAGTTACTGATAATGGTGTAATTCAATGCAGAAAGAATTTCCCAGGGCAATTTTGGTTCTGTTATTGTTAAGTGCTGTTGAGTCCATTCCGACTTATAGCGATCCTGTATAAGGCTTCCAAGGAGCGGGTAGTGAGTTTGAACCACCGATCTTGTGGTTCAAACCGACCTTGCCTATAATACAACACCAGCATTCATATAATGTAAGAGATATTACAGTAAAACAGTCTACAATGATATATGTCATATATTATCCTATGATTCAAATTATAGCCTGGAAGGGGAGGAGAACCATGGTAGGAGGTGACACCAACCCTGATAACGCCACTGACTGTGGACACGTGCTCGTTGAGACGCTTGCGCACGCTCACACGCTCGCACACGCACGCATGCGCACTTCTGCAACTCTGCGCCCTCCTCTGATCTTCGTGGGCTGGTGAGCTGAGGCTCAGGCATCCCAGAGGCCTGTGGGAATGGGGCCCATGGATTAAAGATCTTGGAGGCCCTTCTGCCTCTACCTGGAGCAGTTCCCAGGAGTTGGAGATTCAGATTGTCTTCCCAGACAGCGTCTGAAAGGGCCAGGCCAGTGCTGGCCGACGAAGCGTCTGCAGCCTTGCCCAGCCTTCCACTCTCTCTGGCTGTCACTAGGTGAGTGTGTGTGGCTGAGCTAAGCCACGTGACCTCATGGCACTTTGGTTAACTCCTTTACAGCAATGCACAGACGGCCGCCGTATTTGTCCGCTGGCCTGGCCATAGCTGACCTGGTTCTGTGCTATCCCCTGGGCCTTAGGTGGGGAGTGGGGTAGGAGGAAAAGACAACAGTTGGTATATTTGAGTAGAAGCCTTGATGCGGCAGTAGTTAAACAACCCAGCTGCTAACCAATAGGCGGGCAGTTCCAATCACTGGAGAAAGATTTGGCAGTCGGCTTCCTTAAGAGTACACTCTTGGAAACTCCATGAGGTAGTTCTGTCCTCTCCTACAGTGTCCCTGTGATTCAGAACCAACTTGATGGCAGTGGATTGGCACCTTTGAGGGATCAGCAGGCCCTGGGCCCAAGGCTTTACCTTCGTCATGATGTGGAAACCCCCCACCAACATGAGAATTCTGACTTCTTGAGGGAGGCACACAGGTTAAGCCAGTGGAGGGCAGCTGGGGTCCAAGGCAGGCTGGCTGACTGCCGAGCTGCGGGTGGATTCGTGTATGTAACCTCGGACAAACTCTTCCCTTCTCTGTGTTCCAATTGCTTATTTGTAAAACGAGGATTCGATGCTTCATTCCTAACCCTCTCTCAGCTCTGCTTTGCGTCCTCAGCTCTCCTCTTCCTGGTGGCCAGTGTCGTCTTGCCACTGAAGGTAAAGAGAGCTGTAGGCTGGAGCTGAGGGTAAAGTTAAGGTTGAATACATCCTGGAGACAGCACAGGCTCATCTCCAAACCACTGCGATTGATCCAGTCACATGGATGTTTTGGTTTTCCAGTGCATGGAAAAGTGATCCTTATACCATGCTGCCGTGTATGGAATGAGCAACAGCATGAGAACGTGTGGAATAGTGTGAGGATGTGACGCTGAGACTCAAAAGGAACGCGTGCTTTGGGAAAAATGGCGCCGATTAGACTTGCTCGATACGTGGAAACCTTCCATTTGTAAAAATTCAGTATCTCCGGAGCTCAGTTAACTGAGGCTTGCCTGTAATGGCTGGTGGTAGGGCTGGAGAGGACAAGGCAGGCTTTCAGGAGCACACACGTGTGTGCAAAGAAAAGGAGGACAGGAATGAAGACTAGAGGGGAATAAGTTTGGGTAGAAGGGAAGGGAGTACTGATCATTCGTTTAACTGAGAAAACAGCTGGGTCGTGTGCGCGCGCGTGCGCGTGTGCGTGCACGCTCGGAGAAGCTGGGAATTTTAGTGTACGTTTCTATGGTGAAAATATAACAAAATATGCCGTCTCTACTTAGTTTCCATGCTGCAGTATATTGCAGGGTCCTCACGGGATGGACCCCTGTTCATGTGCACAGGGCTTGTGCTTTGGGAACATACAGGAATTATGCTGTGCTGCTTACCAAGGATCAGTGAAAGTGTTTTCTCTCTTTTGCACAGTCTGTATTGATCGGGTTTATAACTGTTCAGGAACCAGAAGCAGAGTGCTGCATTTAGATCCGTGTATGGTCAAGTAATTTTAAGGAGCCCTGGAAGCATGCTGGGTTATGAGCTGGGCTGCTAACTGCAAGGGCGTCAGTTTAAATCTACCAGTCACTCCACAGGAGAAAGATGAAGCTTTCTGCTCCCATAAAGATTTACAGTCTCAAAAACCCTAGTTACAGTCTTGAAAAGCCAATGAGTTGGAACCAGATAGACAGTACTTAGCAAGAACACACTGACCAGAATAAATCAGCTTTTTTTTTTTTTTTTTTTAAAGCTTTTATTGTGAGCTCTGGTAGCATAGTGGTTACAGATCAGGCTGCGAACCTTAAGGTCAGCAGTTCGAAACTACCAGCCGCTTCATGGAAGAAAGATTAGGCTTTCTGCTCCTGTAAAACTTAACAACATTGTGAACTGAGTGGTAGTTTACATGGGAGAACATCAGTTTTGCACTCGTATTTCGTTTCACTGCCATGGTTACAATCCCCTCCATGCTTCACCAGTCAACAATATTTGCTTCTATTCCCTGTTTTTTTTGCCTGATGTACACAAAAACACTCAGGAATATAAAATCATTTCAACAACTAAAGGGCACATTCTGCAAGCCTGCCTCCTGGCTGCCAGCACACAGCCTTTCTCTTACCATGAGTCTAGAGTCCTCAGCTGCTCCCTCTCTCCATGTCCTCATCTCTGTCTCCATATCCGGTGTCACTGATTCTCTGGAAAGGATCCCACATTCTGCTTGTTCTCTTCTCCCTTGATGGTCCTAGGTTCTCTGTTCCTGGACTGTAAGATTAACTTGTTGTTGTTGTTGTCAGGTGCCATCGAGTCGGAACCAACTCATAGCGACCCCATGCACAGCAGAACGAAACAATGTCCGATCCTGGGCCAACCTCA